CTTTCTAGTAAGGGGAAAGCCACTTTTTTGCGATCCAGATTTTAGCATCTTGTGCTCTTGCGAAGGGTGAGGCCTGGGAAGATTAATTGTTAGTAGCAGGGATCCCTTCCCGTTTGTTATTGGGTTTAGGGACTGGGAAAAGCAAATGGAGCTCATGAATTCTGAATTTCTGCAGCTGGTTACCCTACACGGAGTTACATTTTCCATTTTTTCCCTTCTTACTGCCAGATTTACTCCAGGGAGGACGTTTCACCCGGGCTCAGTAGAAGAGCTGAGTCACGAGAGTTAATATCTGGGCAATTGCCATTGGGAGTGGCAAATAGATAGAGCAACAGAAATAAGTCAGAAGATAAAGACCTGCTTAATTTTATTCCTGTGAGAGGCTGTTCCAGAGTGAGCCATGCTAAAGTGACACTTCTGAGGCCTCTCCCTGTAATAACGTCTATGAAAACCTCGGCTAGAGCATTCCTTTGTGTTTCTTCTCAGGTTTATTCTGAAGATACTCTGACTGATCTCTTAAGGATTGATTTTAAAGGGCCCTTTCTAAGGTGTTCGGTGTAAATGCTGGACTCCTGGTCCTTCTTTGTTTCCTTTCTGCAGCTGATCTTTGATCATATCAAATTGAGTTGAATTGTCTGCACCATGGACAGTTTTCTTGGGCCACCTTGAGAATTAAGGGAATTAAGCTGTGCTGATAGGGGGAAATACATGAGCCTGCAAGAGCTATCCATCTCAAAAAAAAAAAGTTTTTTTTAAAATCTGTCTGTGTCCGTTTAGCTCAGTGTTTCTCAACCTTGGCTGCTTTAAGCTGGGTGGACTTCAACTCTCAGAATTCTGGCTGGGGGATTTTTGGTGTTGAAGTCCACCCAGCTTAAAGTGGACAAGGTTGAGAAACACTGCTTTAGCTATTCTGTTGCTGCTAATTTGTGCTATAGGCTCTTGAGATTGCTGACCGCTTCAGGAACCTTTGATTTCAGTGGCTGTAGAGAGTTGTGAATGCAGTAAGAAGAATCAGGAAAGGCCCTTTCTCAAGGATCAAACTGTTGGGTTTGTACACCTGAAAGAATGGTATT